GAGGTGGTGGCTTCCGCCGTCTGCCACCATCTTGGTGGTTGTATTGGACATTTTGATATTCTTTTTGGTGCTAATGTGTGTGAATGATGTAAGAACTTGTATGTGTGTTTGGATTGTTGGAATTATCACTTGAACCGCCGCCGACCACCACTGCCCGAGGTGGCGGTGGGTGGTGCCCGATTTATTAAATATATATTTTATTTAATTAACTAATCATCCAATCTTAGGAGTTGGAAACCCTAATTAGGGTTTAGAAAACCCTAATGTCAAAAAACCCTAGTTTTTGGAGTTGGTCGGGACCCACGTTAAAGCTGTTAATTAAACTTTAAATAATACTTAATAATGCCCCTACAATTAACTTAATGCAATATTGGACTTAATGGATCAAGTCCTTAAGGAGTTAAGTGTGGAACACTAACCCTAGTTATCGTTTTATGTGAAAACCCTAGAATCGGGGAGCTCTATTTTGGACAATGATCGGGAGCGTATTTGGGCTATTAATTGGATTATTATTACACTCAAGAATGAATAAGTCAACCTTAATCAGTCCTACCCTTAGGTGATTAAGTCCTTAATGGGTTAAGTGTTCTTACTTAACCCTGATCGTCATTTTATGTGAAACCCTAATCGTCATTTCATGTGAGGTGGTCACTGTTGCAAGTGACTATGACTTGTGATCGGGTATTGACTCAAGTATCTTCCTGTAGGGGATTGGAAGTGAGTTGAAGCTGGTAGAGTCCTTCATTGCTACAGTGGTTATCTACGCGTATATCGAGGTGAGTTTCGCCTCACTATACCCGTGGGTCGAAGGCACCAATGATGGCCCACTAGTTTTGGTTATCTATTAGTAGAGGGATACCTTAGGGATTGTATATAGTCATGTAGGATAGTCTGAGGACTCTTGATCCAAGCTATCCAACTCGTTCCTCGTTTGGTTGTGGTTCTAGAGTAGGATCATCTGTCCGGGTGACTATCTCACATATGAGTACATACGGCCATGCATTACTTGAATTGTCGATATTTAGTATGTTGCTATGTTATAGTGACCTATTAGATCTGTGTTCTGGTATTGAGTATGCTGCTATGTTGTAGTGGTCTGTTAGATTTGTGTTATGGTATTGAGTATGATGCTATGTTGTAGTGGTCTGTTAGATCTGTGTTCTGGCATCGAGTATGCTGCTATGTTGTAGTGATCTGTTAGATCTGTCTTCTAGTATTGAGTATGTTGCTTTGTGGTAATAATCTGTAGAATTGTATGTTATATGTGCTTACTGGTTATCATCTATGGAGTGCCCTTAGGGACTGTCTGTGGTCATGTAGGATACCCTGAGAACTCTTGGTCTAGGCTTTCTTTCATGTTCCTTGTTTGGTTGTGGCTCTAGAGTAGGATCATCTGTTTGGGTGGCTATCTCACCTCTGGTTACTTATGGTTATGTATTCTACGGGGGTTAACTAGTAGCGGGACTGTATGATGTGAGAGGATTAGTAGGCAGTAGTGAGTTGTATGATTGCTGTTTGCCTGTATTATGTGCCTACTTGATCGTGATTGTTTATATGTCGACATATTGTGTTTGGTTTGTGTTGAGGCGGTCCTGCTTTGTACGGTAGGCCAAGATACCCGGTGTGGGTCGGCTGTAAGCCGTAGGCACGGAGGCTTGGGAAGAACGGTAGGGTTGAGGCAGTAGGCAAACAAACCCTGGGTATTCCAGCCCGATGGCTGATTGGACCTGTTGTATACTGCCATTCCAACCTGGGGTATTCCATCCCGGGGATGACTGGACCCGGAGGTTGACTGGGCCTGGGGTATTCCAACCCGATGGTTGACTGGACCCGACATGTTTGATTGTATATGTGATCTGTTTATCTGGTGGTATTTTGGGGGAAACTCACTAAGCTTTATGCTTACCCAGTTGTTTATGGTTTTAGGTAACATCGGTTATTGCTGGAAGGCGAAGGCGGGACTGTACACACTCATTAGCAACATTGAAGATTCTGCGTTTCTACAATACTCTGATTTTTAATAAATGTAATTCGGAATAAATGGTTTTCTTAATTAATGGATTAATAAATTGGGAAGTTTTAACTTAATAAGAATGAAAATTTTTTGTTGTAAAAATGGGACGTTACACTTTAATTTTGTCAGCTGTTGCAATCATCCAATCAGTAAAACTCATAGCCGGTTTTGCTGCATATGTCAAGGACTTTGATGTTTCAAACAAACAAAACATGAATATTAACCCTAAGACTTGAATGTTCAAAAAAATCCAATATATCAAGCCATATTCTAAAAATTGAATATACAATGAAATAAAAAACTAATAATCCTTATGAACCATTTTTAAAAATCTCCTTAGTTTTTTCAGTGTCACAGAAACATTCAAACTAACAAAATTGGGGAGCAACAATGAACCTAAACACAAACAGGTTTCATCGACATGATTTTATTAACTTTTGCCTATTTGACCTGTTAACATTAACAGTATTAAATAACCCAAATGACTCAATTTTTATAATAACAATTTACCCTTAAACTTGAAAAGAGGCAATGAAGCTTATAAACTGACGAATAAACACTTTATATCAAAGAACAATATAAGACCCCTAAAATTCGCAAAATATTACCATTTCCTTTATTCATCCCAACCAATGGAGATTGCTACAAAGCATCTTCATTATTCAACACCACATTTCCTATAAATCTGATGTCAGATAAAAGAATGACAAAATTAGAGCAAAAAACATTATCGATTAAAACAACAACATTGTTGGATCATATCCAGATAACAAACACATGATATATGAAGCAGATGTTGTCCAAACTAAGAGGCTCTTGCAAACTCGACAATTCAGAAGTGGGATTTAAGGAAAAAAAACACTATAAAGGAAGCAAGATAGAAGTAATCCCACTTAAAATTCAACAAAATTTGAAATTTGTGCATATAAAAACAACAAATTGGAAACCCTAAAAGCATTGATTTAGGATAACTAAGACTTAATTCAACTCCAAATCAACACATTTTATAAATTGTCAACTAAAGCAACTAATTCTTAATCTCAATTGCTAAGATCTACAATTCGAATTCACCAATCCTGAAACAAACAATGAACCTGATTACCATAAGCGATTTGTAGAAATACAACGAACCTGGAATTTGATTGATCGTTCCAATTAAAAGGGTAAAAGCCTTGATGCGAAATGATTCTTTAATTGATTCATCCATATCTTCGTCTTCTTTGTTGCACGACTTTAGATGAAATCTAAATTTTAATGAATATGAACTTATCAACAACAATCGAATAGTTGATTGCAGACAATAAGAGGAAGAAGGTGGGAATTCCGCTAGAGAAGACGATGAAGAAAGAGTTGTAAAGAAACGACGTTCTCTTTCAATAGCTACCTCTATTTATATGCAATAAAGAGTTCCCAAAGGAGTTGAAAGAGCAAGGAACGTGGGGAAAAGTTAACGAAGAAGCAGTTCAATCAGGAAGTGGGGGAGAAGAAGAAGGAAGCGTGCGGTGGAGCTGAAAACGGCTGGTAACCTTAGATTAACCGTAAATGTTGAGTTATTACGGCTAGGATTGAAAGATGTGAGAGTTTTAAGGGTTGAGATTCAATGGAAGGTTTTCCACTCACCGTCAACAATAGTATAAAGAATTAACACTATTATTACATTTCAATTAATACTAAAAATGGAAAATTATATTATAACAACGAAGACAAGGACATAAAATTTGTAGTTTACTTGTCAAAACTCAAAACGAATGTTCCTTTCTTTGAACGGAATTTTAGGATTGTGTGAAAGCTTTAAGTATCACATGTTAGTAGATGTGATAAAAATTGACACGGTCTGAAATCGACACGAAATAAACGGGTTTGGATAAAAGATACCAACACATTTAATCAAACGGGTTGACACGACACACCATGAAAATTAAACGGGTAGAGTTAATGTTAAGATTTTCATCTCGAAGATGACTTGAAAATGTCTGTTTAATTATATATAATATTTTATAAATTTTATATTTTTATAAATATAGTATATAGCGTTAGAATTATAATGAGCCAACCTAATAAATAATAAAAAAATTGGGCTGGTTAATAAAAGAAGCTTTGGGCTGCTTAAAAACAAAATTGGGTAAAACTTTGGGCTGCTATAAACCCAATAGAATCATTAGTCCATTAGGAATATTTCAAAAATAAAATCAGGTATTCACACTTCAACGATTTAACACTCGTCTCGCCGTTCAACACCTCCCCTCCGCGCTCCCTCGTTCAAAGTTCCCTCCTTCACGACTTCACCGGCGCATCTCAGTCCACTCACCGGTGCATCTACGTCCGGATTTCGTTCGTTCCGGCATTCCTTCCGTCGTTCGTTGAGCATCAGTCGTTTCAGGTCAAGGTCGCCGGTGCAAGCTTTCGGCTCGCCGCCGCATCTCTCTCAGTCTCTGACTCTCTGGTAACAATCGACGATGGATGAGACGTTGCCTTCAGCATCCCCGAGATTTTCTAATAAAACAGAGCTAGGGGCTTAAGAGGCAAATAGTAAAGATGAAGGGTGAAAATTGGAATTCGAGTAGAAAGCATTTCTAAAAGGTTTTGGAATCAAACTTGGGTTTGTTTACGCCATCTTTTCCCTCTACCTCGTGGACTCGCACACTTACGCACAGTAAGCTCATCAGCCACCATTGGAGGAAATCTACACGTTCTCTTTGAGGTAACTGATTCTTCGATTCATATTTAATCGCATGTTTCAGTATGTTTTGTGTTTTAAGAGTTTAGATTTCAATAAGAAAATTGGTCCACTCCTAATAAAGGATTAGGGTTTATGTTCGATATGCTCCCCTATTCTAAATTAAATGATTGTTTTTTGCTCAAATTGATAAAAATAACATATTGTAAGCTATCACCATAACATATGTTGTTGCCATAAACAGGGTTTTCAAGCGATCATCACAAGAAACAAAAGTTCATCTCTGCAACTACAGTAAAACTCCTTTGAATGGCATTAGTTGTAATTTGTGGTCAACCATGCAGTGGAAAGTCAAAAGCCGCGCTTTCCCTATCTGAAGCTCTAAACAACACAGAATCCAAACCAACACTCAAAATCATCAACGAAACTTCCTTCCATCTCAATCGCAACCAAACATATGCAGAAATGAGTTCAGAAAAAAACTTAAGAGGAGTCCTTAGATCCGAAGTAGACAGATCTTTATCCAAAAACAATATCATAATAGTAGATTCCCTAAATAGCATAAAAGGTTACCGATATGAGCTATGGTGTTTAGCACGTGCTGCAGGAATCAGACATTGTGTGCTTTTCTGTGATGTGGAAGAAAGTCAATGTAGAATCTGGAATCAAGAACGAAGGAAGAACAATGAACCTTCATATGATGATCATATATTTGAAGATTTAGTAAGAAGATTTGAAACACCCGATAGTAGAAACCGATGGGACTCACCTTTATTCGAATTATACCCATTTAAAGATGAAATAAATAAAAGTTCCCTAGTGATTTTAGATCTTGTGGATTATATAACGAAAAGGGTTGACTCAAAGACTAAAGATGTAAAGATTTTGCAGCCCACAATAGCGACACAAAGTGTGAGATTTTCAGAGGCGAATTCTTTATATGAAATGGATAGGGCTACACAGGAGGTGATTGGTGCAATTGTGGCGGCTCAGTCGTTGGCCATGGGTGCACCGGTGGTGGGTGGGGTCGGTGTTGGACCGGACTTGCCAGTTGTTAATGTTTCACGGGCGGTTGGGTTGCCGGAGTTGAGGCGGTTAAGGAAGACTTTTATAAAGTTGACTGGTCAGTCGAGTTTAAGTGGGCCACCACCGCCTTCGGATGCTGATAGTGCCAAGAGAATGTTTATTGATTACTTGAATAGAGAATTTGGAAATGGATGAAAAGACTGGTTTTTTGGTAATTTCATAAGTTTTGTATGTTATATTCCTCAAAAACCCTATATGAGTGATTGACTTCTTGATTCTTGAATGTCAAGTCAAAAACAACCCCCATGTTCTAATCCAACCCATCCCAAACACAATACAAAGCTAGCTTGTTATGTCATGCCCTGTCGTGCTAACAAACCGAGCCGTTATAGTAAAGAAACATAACAAGTTGGCTTTGTATTGTGTTTGGCATAGGTTGGATTAGGACATGGGGTTGTTGTTTTAAGCTTAACGAGCTTTATGGGTTTAATATTTAATTTGGACAATTGCATATGGATGTTTCTTTTCTACTCTGTCCAATGGCTTAATGGGTTATGCAAAAAAATATGGCTTAATGTATTAAGACATTGACGATTTACCTATTTTTCATTTTTTTTTCCATCTACCTCATCTCATATTAAAACTGATGAATATTTTTAAAATTGATGAATAATAAGGGTCAAATGATTATTTAGTCCCATTCATACAGTTTATCAAAATCTTATATAGACGGATAATATTATACATTCGGTCACATGTCACTCTTTATACAAGACGTAAGGAGGAAAAAGAGAAAAACCCTTGCCAAAAAATACATTTTCTTTGTCATTAGACTAACTACAGAACTTAGTAATGAAATACTATTTTATTGTGTTGAACATTAATTGGTCAATACTCGTGAGCCGATTAATGTCTACTACGATTTGCAAGATTTGGTCCCAGTTGAACTATGAAGATGCAATTGAAATAATTACGCTAATCCAAATATAAGATTCATAATTACTTTCATTGCAAATGAGAGGAAAAAAAAAACATGAAATTTAGGTGCGGAAAAATGTGTGTATGAATTCTTGAAGCACAAAGGATAATAAAGGAGAAGTAGTGGGGCAATTCATGATTAATATTATAGAAGCAAAAAGCCGAAGGGAAGGGAACAAAGCAAAGAGCATGCCTTGGAAGCAAAGAGTACATAACAGCCAAATTACTTGTTGATCCTACACCAACTTTCAACACCATTCTAAGTGTATTTTAGTAGATTCTGATTACTATATTTATTTAAATATAAAAAAATATATATATATGATAATGTTTTGTAAAAGTGTAACTACATACATATGTTACTACACAACAATTTAGGTATGATACATGTACGAACAATGCTTCTTCACCCATATCTAAACCCTAGAATCCTAGATCATTTTTCTTTTGTACTCTTATATATCTTTTTAACTACATATATATAAGCAAAAAAACAAAGATAATAAACTCGCAAAATCATTTGTTGCATAAGTTATGAAGAAAATACGGGTATAGCATGTCAAGAATTGGTTGTATTATGTATGTCCCTTGTGACTTGTGAGTGAGTAATAATAATAATGCAGCAACCATGATTACTGATATATATACTACAGACACATATCTACACAATTGCATATTTGCATATTTTATGGAATATAATACATTCATACAAAGATGAACATTTTCACACACAAGTACATAATAATAAGGGATCCCTATTCCTAATACTAATAGTAACACTCTCTTCAAAACCTTCTTCTACTCTTACTTTCGTTGCTTACCCAAGAATCGTCTCACATACTTGTCATTCGTCTCAAACACAAAACTCATCCCCCTTATCTGCCAATTTATAACAACATTAAACCAATTTTATATAAAAATATTTTTGTATATAAGAATTAAGAAAGGCATCGCATGGCATGATTACCTCAATTAAACAAGTTGAACTTAGTGCAACCACCTGTCCATGAGCGACTTCTTTGCCATTTAACGAGATTGAACTTGCCCCAAGATTTTTTAGACTGAATGATCCATCTGTTTCCATTTTTATAATAGCCTGAACACAAACATGTAATTTACATTTACATACTAAATAATAATATACCATGAAATTTAATCATATAAAAAGAAATGTAATGAGTATTACCTGGCGCCTAGATATCTTGTTGGCACGCCCTTCTTTTCTTAGATCAATATCAACCTCGGTGTCATCTGTTGATCTCCCAATTGTCACCTGAAAAAAAAAAAAAAAAAAAAAAAAAACACAATTTTTGTTCAGTCAGTTTAATCAAAAATATAAGAATTAAATAATCAGAATTAAAAATTATTGTACCTCGGCTTTCTTAATATAGTGTTTTAAACGACGCCCATAAAAAATAGCAAGAGCTCCCTGAGATGACAGGGCTCTTTGGAATGAAGAACGTGCAGCCTGTTCCAGTCTAATGATCATCTTTTTACTTCCCTCATATTCATTCCTCACAACTGTACATTATTATTATTATTATAACAAAAAACCCCAACATTATGTTATTATTTTTATAAAATCCAAGATTTGCAAGAATCATAATCAAATAAGAAACTGTGCAACACCTTCACTTGCAAGGCATGACTCCTGAGCATGGGTCAAGTCCATTTCCAGTATCTGAAACAATAATACATCATCAACTATTAAAGACTAGAGCTACAAAAAATAAAATAAATAAAATCAAAATTATACCATAGCTTCAACATCGGAGAAGTAAGGTATGTCAGCATCATCATCAGAGTTGTTCTGATCCGATACATTAGAATCATCCATTGATTCTGGATCAATCATTTTCACACTACCAACTTCTAAAGGTAATGGCATCTCATTGTACAATGTCGGGCTTCCTAAACCCTGTTCACAATAAATAAATAAATAAATAAATAAAATAATGATCAAAACAAACCATTTGTACATGTTACCTGAAGTTCAGCTTTAGCACCACCTTCCTCCACCATTCCATTCCGGGTGATTTCTAGAGGTGTGTGTAATTGCATTGACCTAGTTTGACCAGGAATCCTAAGATGATTATTCGGCTTCACAGGAAGTGGGGCCCGATATTCAACCTCAGATGGCTCACGTTTGAAAACAGATCCAAATTCAGGCAAAGCACTTGGCCTTGGGAAACATGGTGGAGCAAGATCTTTCCCTTTTCTTACTGTGATTATCCCCTGTTCATCTTTCTCGTGAGATGAAGGAGACAATGGACACATGGAATCTGTTGTAGCAACTTGTCCAATACAAGGAGGAAAAGGAGTAGAAGGGTGAATCAGTAAAAAGATATCATCATTACATGGTATGTCTGGATCTTCCCTGTTCAAAGTGCAAATAATTTGCCCTTCTGTAAGCTGAACAGATTCTATCTGTGATACTGATGTTGATGTTGATGCCACGTCATCTTGAACACCAGGAATTACATCAACATTGCATAAATCAACTTCTTGATTAGGAACATCATCATCCATTGTATCTTTCATATGATCCTTCACATCTACATCCATGAAAAGAATATCATCTTCATTTGACAAGTTGAGAAGAGAATCTGGTAGATCTGTGTATTCACCCTCATGAACACCACTTGAATTTATAAAACCCATTAGGTCTGTTTCCCAAAAGGGACACTACTACCCCTGGTGAAGTTTTATGATCAGAATCATCAGGGAGTGGTGGTAATGTTTCTTCTGTCACTTGATGACTTTCTGCATTGTTGTCATCAACTGGCATATCAGGGGCAGAAACGTCTTCTAACGTCTTCCATAAAAGGTAGTCTAGTTGATGGAGATGAAAATGATAAAGGAAATGAAGCACTTCCATCTGAAACAGGGGAGCTAAAATGGTGTTTCCCTCCAAATCCAGACTCTGGTTTATCAGTTTTGAGATTGGGAGGAGTATCAGACACACAGCTGGCGTTTTTTATTGGATCAAAAGAACCGATTAATTCGTTTCTTGAAGGGGAAATATCTTCTGGAAATTTAAACAAGTCGCCTTCTTCTTCCCTCCCATTAATAAAATCATTTTCAACAGACTTATGGCATCTTTCCATATGAAAAGCATTAGGATTATGGTTATGATTATCAATAACAGCAGTTGTAGTAGTAGTAGCAATGCTTCCTATTGATTCTGGAAAAGCCTGGCGTAATATCTCAAAATCCTTTTCCTCAAACCCTAGATTATTCGCGAGGCAATCATCCAACATGGCATCGCCACCTGGAGCCACGTGATTGGTTGTCACATGATCTTGAAATTTATGTTCTTGATGGTTGTAGTTATGAAGGCTGCGTTCTTCATAAAACCCAAGATTTTGGGAGCTAAAAAATTCGTTTTTTATTCTTTTTCGCCATGAATGATATTGTTTCCGGATGCTTCCGGTTTTTCTCTTTTCAAGGACTTTTTCAGTTCCTTTTAAATTGTCTAGTTTGAATTTTGATGATGGATTTGGATTAGAACCAGAGAGTTCAAGTTCAGCCATGCGAGCAGAAGCTTGAGCTGAAACATCGGGATCATAGAGAAGAGAATACCATCGATCTCGAATTTCACGAAAGGTAAATCTGCGTGAAAATTTTACTGCTCCTTTAGCAAGTGCTTCTAGTGAAGCACCACCCTATAAGAGGTAAACAAGGATAAAATTAATTTTCCAAATCTAATGTGCATTTTTACTTCCTTAAATTCGAGAAATATGGATGCAAAAGAATCTTTAATCTTTATAAGGAAAATTGAAACGTTTTCCCACCTCGATAACCTAATAGAAATAATATACATGCACCAAATATATTTATTCACTATAGTTATGAATCTCTATATTCTCTGTTTATACTATTTAGGAAGATATAACGATCGCCATAATGAAGATAAACCATGTCAAATGAGACCAAAGATGAGGAAGAATGATGTGCAAGTGTCCAAAAGAAGCTCCCTAGAATAAATGATACACATGCTAGACAAAGAAGAATACCTACATGGAAATTAGCATTCCTGATAGAAGTACTAAAGAAATTGAAAGTTGTTAAAACATAACTATATTTGGGATTCTGTAGTTCTGAAGATATTACAATTTCACCACATAAGGTTTCGCCCCAAATTATTTATAAAAAGATCAATTGAGTTTTCGTATCTTCATCACACTGTATCACACATGAAGCCAGTCAATTCCAAAACCAATAGTTTAAAAGATACTAGAGAATATCGACATTCTAATTGAGTTGAGTTATGAATATGCCAACAAAATATGATTTCATGGTCATTGCCAACTTCATACAATTAGTCTTCTCTCATTCTGCTATTGAAATCAATGATAACATTTTAATTACATGGTCAAATAACTAGAAAGCGAATGACGATAAATACATACATGTGTGTGCATGAATATTATTAGGGTCAGCAATTTATAATTGGATGCAGCAATTATTCTGAAAATCACTCAAGGTACCTTCACCAATACAGGTGCATCTACTTAACATAAGTATAACACACACACACACACGTGGTCGGGGGTATTGTCGTGTATTAGGGCAACTAATCTATAATCGTATGAACCAACCATCAATTATCCCAAGTTTCAGTAAATCAAAACAAAATTGTCTTACACAATTTACTTCCACTGATAATAAATAAGATCGAGACTTCGTGAATTTCATAGCAGGTTATAGTGGCATCAGTTCATACTAACGGTGACCTAAAAATCTCGAATAATAACATAATCTACGGTTGCAAATCATGCAGGTAAAAAATCCCCAAAATGAAGTTGGAAACATGGATAAAGGCAATGGCCTACAATCAAAGACAACAACAGATAAAAAAACACGTAATCGAACCTCGATTGAATTCTTAAGTAGCAGGTCATCTTCGGGAATCCAGGGAGAAGAAACAGAAGCCGTTGCTGTCATCTTCTCCACTGACGAAAAAAAAGCCCTAAATTCTCGCTCAATGAGTAACAGATATAGAATTTCTCCGAAAATGAGTAAAATTTGTAGACGAATTCGACGGAGAAGCTCAGAGTTGCAACATCGAGAGGGAGGAGAATGCGAAAATCTTGGTGAAGCTCATCGCGCGGGTAACTTCACTCTCGAACCATACCACTGTGTTTTTACAAGAGAGGAGTAGCAGGTTTTTACTTCGCCTTTTTGTAATATTTTATTGAAGTTTGGGATTTTGTAGCGTTTTTTAGATTTTTTAAGGATACATTGCATGAAAGGCACTATATTTATTTTTGTTCATTTTAAGTAATATATGAATTTTGGTCGCCAATAATTTTTAAAAAATCATTTTGAATTAATTTGACATAATATATCGATTAAAATGTTGAATTGGTAAGTCATTTGGTTATGTAAAGTGTCATATGCTCAATATAGGGTGTGTTCAGCACGGAGCGTTTGAGAGCTTCTAGTTTTTAGTGTTTGACAAAATGTTCCGTTTTGAACATAAAATTTCGTTTAATACTACAAGCTTCTAGCGTTTATTTTAAACAAAAACGTTTCGAATTCAAATGCTACTTCACGTAACGTTTAACAAAACGATAGCCGCTACCAGTTATTTTTGCCGAACACACCATAATCACACACCAATTTTAAAAAACAATTAAAATTAAATTCTAACTATTGATTAAAACCTTTCTTTTTAAACAAACTACAAAAATTATATTTAAAAAACCACAGGACCTAGGAAAATATAAAGGAGAAGAAAAACCTCCCTAAAGCAAATAAACAATCAAAGCAACCCACTTTTTCGATTAAAAAAACAATAAAAGCAATCCAAACTGATTATATATAAGCAAATGTCATATTAGTCCATCAAACTTATCGTGTTTGTTTTAAAAGGTCACTAAACTATTTTATTTTTTATTTTTTTGCACATTAAAGTAATAAACTCTCATATGACCATTTAATTACATCCTTTTACCGATTGTAAAAGGTATAAAACATATTTTGGTGACATGGGCCTCCACGGTGGACTAGTACTGTTGCAATATTGGTCCCCAAGATTGCCAAGACATCCTCGATGGTCCTCCTTATAAACTGAAGGGATGCCCGAAATTCGTGTTCCCCACCCACTTTGTTACCCTAATCTGTAACCTTCGCATAATACAGCCAATTTCGATCTTTTCCCACTTATACATCAAGAAGATGTCCTCAGAACAAAGTTTTCTCCTATGGTGGTTTCAGAGTGTCAGACCTAGACGTACCAACTGATTACGAGCTTCATGCCATGGAAACCCAAGTGCAGATTGAGGAAATGAGAGATGACATGCGACAACAGCTTGGCAAGTTTAGGGAGTAAATACGGTACTTGAAAAAGATCGTAACTGTGATGGATGTTGTTGGAGTTGCAGTGATGTCGTTGATCAGGGTTCGTGTTTGTGTTGAAAGCTCTGGGTGGGGATTTTGGTGGGTGTAGTTTTGTCGGTAGGTAGCACGATGGTGATTTTAGCTTTTTTTTTTAGTTTTTTGGGTTGTCGAAGGTTGTTTGTTTTTGTCTAACTTCTCCATCTACTAGTATAATATGTATGTATTAGGGTATGTTTTGTTGTTGGTTATTTTGATCAGTGGTGCCTGTTGACGATGCTAGGTTTTTTAGAACCATCTTTTTGGGGGTTTTTGGTAACACGATAACCTCAGTTGTAATGTATGGCCACTTCAATGAATGAAATGAAATCTAGTTCCTATTAACCATTGTTTTCATATGATGTCATTTAATATTTAGTAATGTACTCGAAGTACTTATTTCTCCGACTTAATGCTTCCAATCACAGATCCAAGGCTAAAATATCCTCAAGAGTCATAAAGTTTTCAACTTTATGACTTTTGTTAGGCGTGTCAAACCCAACAAATAATGGGATAAAATAATATTAATAAAGCTCAAATCACTGCTATTTCTTATACTAAAGATAGTATAGAGTAAGCAGGGTCGGTCCACAGGAATACAAGACTTCTTATCTTGCCATATTCTCACACATAATACAAATAATATTAAAATGGGGGATTGTGTTTGAACTTGAATTAAACTTCATAAATAAGAAAAGATTGATAACAAAACGCAGTAAAAGAAGTACATTTCCGATTCTGACTCTTATACATGTATTATGTTGAAAGATGTAATATGATTATAACTCATGTTCAATCTAGGTTGGTAAGTTAGATATTAATAAACTCTAATATCCAAATTGGCAAAAGTATTTTATTCAAAACAAGCTCTTCAAATAAAACTTCATTTAATTGATTCAATTCAAATAAGTTCTTGCATCAAATCATTAAATGACATTAAGTTTTTGCACTAATTACCAACAATGTTTAACATTCCTCTTAAGCTTGGGAATATAAACATTTAATTTTTGATTGCACTAATTTTGATCTAATTACAACCAAGTAAGTGTGTGTTACTAACATCAAATCATAAAACATATACGAATTTCATAATTTGATTAACTAGATTGATAAGAACCCTAGTTCATTGATCAAGTGAAAAAGAGAACTAACCAAACACATGATTAAGATCAAATCAAAGATTACTAGATGTTAAACACAAATTAAGTTCAAATTACAACCTAACAACACATACTTAAGAATTCAGATTCGGAAATGATAATGAAATCAACCACACATGACTAGGTTAAACTACAAATCAAACAAGTTCAAACTTCAAATTGACTTACAAAAAGGAAATTAAAGTGTTTCCAAGTGTTAATCTACTTCCAAAAGCTCTGAAAATCTCCTTCTCCCTGTCCAAAATCCGACCTAACCTCCAACAAAACTGATTGTCCCCCTTAAATGAGAGTAAAACTACTTTAAAAACTGTCGAGACGTTTACACGGCCCGTGTAAATTATAGGGTGCCATTTACACGACCGTGTAAACAAGAAAAGAAGAACGCTCTTGCATATGCGTTTACACGGCCCGTGTAAATTATAAGCCATCATTTACACGGCCGTGTAAATGTCTGAAAGGCTCAAATCTTCATTTCTTCATTCTCTCTCTCTTCAATGCTCCAAAACTTCTGAAACTTCGTTTCCAACTCTTTTTAACTTCCTCCATCAAGATCCAACCTTCAAAAGTCCCTGAAATATCATAAAAGTGTGTGAATGGAATTGCATCATGAAAAATCCCGAAAAATATGCAAAATGCATGAGTTTAAACCTAAATGCAATGCACTTTTATGAACTAAAACTACAAAATGAATGCATGAATATGCATCTAACAAATCTCCCCAAGCTTGAACCTTTCTTGTCCTCAAGAAAGAGCAAGAAGATTTAAACTAGAGAAAATAAAATAGAATAGAAGAAAAGAAAATTAAAAATAAAACTATTTGAAACTTAATGCATGAAATCAAAACAAACATGAAAAGATCCAACCCAATTACCCTGTTTTGTACCATAGTTGAGAATGTACCTGTCATGCCTTGAGTTAACTTGGCTTTAGTCTCAAAATATTATATGATAATAGAAATAAGACTTTGGCCACTCCGTAATACAACTCAACAGAATCAAAGATCACAACACTAATTCCCTTTCAATATCATCAAGTCAATTATTGGAACAAATTACGGTCTTACTCTCGTGAAATTATATGTGACAAAACATGCTCAACCATCTTTGTTTCATAAAATATAACAATGCCCGATTCCAGCTATTTGTTGATCAACAACAATCTTTTTCTGAAAAATCTTTTCTAAAAATTCCCTAATATTTATCCAGATTGGTTACAAACATCAAACCACTTACACCAGTCAAAGTAGTTAACATTCAGTCCAATGTCATAAGTTCAAATCCAAGTCCAAGGGAATCTTTTGGCAGCCAAATATTTTTCCTAAACATAATATTCAATTAAACTATAAACACAACTATATACAAACTTCTTAATTATATTTTTTTACAAATAAAGCTCATGGCTTTCTTTGAAATCCGTGTAACGGGCTTCCAACCAACACATCCAAATCAAATGACCTTAGTGTGCTAGATTTAAAGAGATCCCTCGGGTTTACTTGCCCGAACCTCAAAGGCCACAGATTAGCTTTATTTGCTATTATTAAGTTCATGACTTTCTATGGAACCCATGTAACGAATTTTCAACTCAATCAGTCCCAAACAATTTAGCTTTAGGCGATTAGGTGTAAAACACCCCTCAGAGTTTACTTGTTCGAATCCCAAAGGTCACAGATTAACTTAATAATAGTTTTTTTTTTTTTTTTTTTTTTTTACAGTTTTCAAATACAAATATCTAAGTTAACACATAACACTCTTATTAATTTATTTATTTGACCAATTTCTTTATATTTTCGTCCTTGACTTTTCTATTGTGGGACATCTCACGGTCTATTACCGTGAGGACTTCTAAGACATTTTTCAGGGGACTAAAGGTTAACATGCAAAAACCCGTAAGTATAGTTGAAAGCTATGTCCCCAAGCAGGGTATATAAAAGGGAATGAGTAGAAATGACTTTTAGAGCGCTGGAAGGCTCGGAACATTGAGATTTTGTATTCTTTTTATGAACTTTTTGAATTTGGCATTTTAAGTTCAATTGAGCATTACTACTCATAAGACCGGTCATATGTCCCAAAGAATTAACTCATACCTGCTGTTATGCTCCAATGTTGACAATCTTCTCACTTTCTGTTTTGCACAAGTAGCTTCAGGAGGTGTGTTCGTGTGCGATTAACTTGCTTTTAGATTTTCAATAAAAAGAGCAAGTTTAATCTCAAGGCACATGACTCATTTACCAGCTCAACTGTTTCGAAAAGATTCGGTTGCTTGGGATTGGATCTCTTTTTTTATTTATTTATTTATTTATTTATTTATTATTTTTTTTATATATATATATATTTTTTTTAAAAATGACAAAGAAAAATAATGTAATGCAATATGTACAAAATTACATGCAACCTACATGCAACGGGATAATACATGGATGGATGGATGCCCCTCCCCAAGCTTAAAATAAGCATCGTCCTCGATGCTTGGAGAGAGGCATAGCTGGCCTATTGAGGACCGGGCGGTGGATATGGAGGGAACTGTGAAGGATAATCTGCAGGATAGTATGGAGGCCATTGGGGTTGGGAGGATGATGATTGTTGCTGCTGTGTGGGGAGCACAAGAACTCGATGGATATCGCTCATCAAATGATGAACGTTGCGGTTATGCTGCTC